TTTTTCTTTTCGTTGCACTATGTGAGGTTTGAACCTCACGGCCTCAATCACGCTAAGCAAGCTTTCCACCACTGAGTACAACTGTCGTACTGCGGTTTTTACTTCTTTGTCTATTTCCCTCCAGAGGACATGCTCATGAGGACCAAGGGCTTATCTATTTTGTATACTGTGCCTTGTGGCTTGAGATAGCTGGGAGCACAGAACTCATTCAGTAAATGTGTGTCTATTGGGTGAACAAAGAGCAACATACAAGTGGCCCAGGTAATTATTCACGGATCTTCTCAATGTGGCAGAATAGAACATGGCACAGAATTAACTTTTGTTGTTTTTTGAGACAGGGTCTCTCTTTTATGTAGCTCTGGCTGTCCTGGAACTCACTATGTAGATCAGGTTGGCCTTGAACTCACAGAGATTCTTCTGTCTCTGCCTCCCAAGTGCTGGGATTAATACCATACCCAGCAACCATTTTTTTTTTTTTGAGACAAGGTTTCAGGTAGTCCAGGCTGGTCCCAAATTTGCTATGTAACCGAGAAGGACCTGCAACTTCTGAAACTCCTGCTTTCACCTCTCAAGTGCTGGGGTTTCAGGCCCGGGCCACCGTGCCTGGTTTTATGCTGGGAATTGAACCCAGGGCACCACGCATGCTAGGCAAGTACTTCAGCACCTGAGTCACATCCCCAGCGCCAACATAAGCTATTTCTTTGGGCTTGGTTTGTAGCAGAGAAAGACTAGAGTGAGGTAGACATCCATCCACATAACGGATTAGTGAGAGGAATGGGTTTCCTGCAGCTTTAAGCAAGAATAAGGCCAGTCTGTCTCCGAAAGGAGAGACTGCAGACACCAAGGAACACAAGGCGAGGCTGAGCAGTGGAGAGCAGGTGATATTGTGGTAGAGAAAAATGTGTGGTGTTTATGAACTGGCCAGATTCAGACTTGAGAAGCAGGATATTCTCATCTTTGGGAGGAAAACCTGTGACTTCTTTGTCTTTGAGGCACAGTGCTTTTTAAAACTAGAAGCATTTGAGGCTGGGCTATGGCTCGGTTTCCTGCCTACCATCTGCAAAGTGCTGCTTTGATCCTGAGCACCAAAGAACAGGAGTGTGGAGGTGCATGCTTGTGTTCCCAACCCCTAGGGAATGGAGGCTGGAAGATGACAAGTTCAATGTCATCTTTGGCTACATACTGAGTCCGAGGCTAACCTGGACTACATGAGACTTTGTAAAACACTAATCAAGGACCAGCAAGATGGCTCAGCTGGTAAAAGCACTTGCTGCCAAGCCTGGGGATCTAAATTCAATCCCTGGAATTTAGGAGAAAACTGACTTTTACAAGTTGTCCTCTTATTTCCCCAGGCTCTATGATACATGTGTATCTTAACACACACACACACACACACACACACACACACACACACACCCTATAAAACACAAACTAAGCAAAATCACAACTAACTAACCAAGCATTGGGGATGTTTGGAGTCACATCTCTAGCCCTGTGGGAGAGTAGACATTGTTGTAAGACACCCGGTGGGATGTTAAATCAGGCAAGAATCACAAGCAAGGACCAGCTTGCCTTTGGCCAGGAAAGAGGAATGGGGTGGTTTCTTTAAGGGTATGACATTTTACTCTGGACCATGAGGATCCTGGAAGGCACGAGGAGAGAAGCTTCAGGAAAGGGCAGAAGCCTGTGCAGACAGCAGCACTATGAAGCAGAGGAGAGACCCCAAGTGCTGCCCTCTTACCTTTGCTTGGTGTTCGATTTTGTAGGCAGTCTGTTGAAACTGGCGGATTTCTCGGATAATATGGGAGATCTGTGGGAAGGCAGGGGTGTTTTAGAACAGTCTGCTCTCTCCTGCTGTCTTGTCGATGAAAAGGGTCATCGGTAGCTATGTCTGAAATCATACTCCTTCCTAAAATACTTCAAACTCCACTGGCTTTCTTTATACCAGCCCTCCTTTCTGAGGTGAAATCTTTCCTTTGGGATATCTGTGATAATGTGTATGTGTGCATGGTATGTGTATGTGTGTGTGTGCACGTGCACGCATACACGTTCGTTGAGCACGTGCCCATGCTTGATAAAGAGAACTCCCTCAGTCAGTGTCACAGGCTTCCCAACACCACTACAACCAAACCCTAACAAGTCAAAGTGAAAGGTTTGTGGGTGTCTAATGTGTGCATGCCAGGATGCGAAACATAAGGACTTCCCTCCACCACCAAGATGGAGCTTCTCGTTTACGTTTGAAAGACTTGCTTTTTATTAATGTGCAAGCCCATTTTACAGGATGGGTGCAAACAGAGGCTCTCTGGTTGGGGTGAGTGAGAGACATGGATGACCAGAAGTCTTGTGCCTGCTCAGAATGGTCTCCTTGGGTCCTCTTATCCCCATGTTCTGAATCTTCAGGAGCAGATTTGAACCTTGCTCTCTTAGGTGTTGTTACAGAATGATTTTTCTTTAGTTATGTTAAACAAGCATTTCTGCGAACCAACATTAAAGGGTGGGCTGTGAGGAAAGCTCTGGGCTTTGGGGTCAGACCCAGCATTCAGAACCAGCTCTTCTTTTAACCCGTGTGGGAGCCTTGAGCTGGTCTCTTGACCTTGCCCATCCTCCCCTGTAGGGAGGGGGGCTGGGCTATTGGGAAAAGTAGGCGACACAGGGCTAATGCCATTAGTGTCAGTCATGGTTGTTACTGGAGAACTTCCACCGGATGAACCTGGAACAGGGGCAGGCAGAACAGGCTGTGCTGGGGCAGAGTCTGGGTGGCTCATGGAGTCTGGAGTTGTGCCCCCATCTCCCCAGGGAAACATACCATCCTCATCTTGGAGAAGTTGACCAGGCCGTCCTCTGTGTAATTGGGTGTCCCCTCCTCGATGAAGGCCAAGTCAGTGAGGTACATCCCCAGGTAAGGGACACAGGGTGGGTCACAACTTGGAAACAAATGGCATCCACAAAAATTTTTCACTTAAGGAAAGGAACTTCTGCTAAGAACAGAACACCCTGCATGCAAATTTTGCCTGTCTAGAGGCAACGGGATTTCTAGTTACGGAACTCATAGGGCACATACAGACTTAGACTGCTAGCCAGGCTGGAGGGTGGGATAGCGTGGAGCTGCCTGGACCCTTACATAGGCTGGGGAAAAGGAATGTTACTTGTATCTCTTCCTTCTGTGACCCCAAATGCCTTTCTTTACTTCTCTGGTGTCTGCATAGTGGAGCTCCCCAGCTGTTCCCAGCCTCATCCCAATTCACTGTTTTTCCCCATCACAGTTAATCTGTGCTCAGGCACCCCCCCCCCCCCCCCCCAGTTCCAGCAGTCACACAGTGTAGCGTCTCTAAGATCTGTCCTCTTACCACCTAGGTTTAGGGGCCACCTTCCTGGAAGTGCCTTCTGAGAAGGATGGGTGATTCTCAGGGTTTATGGTTACAAGAGATGAGACCCTGGTGTGATGGACCAGGCCTCTGATGTGTGGCTCTGAGCAGGGATTTGTAGCCTGTACTACAGCAGCTTTTCTGGTGCCTTGGGAGGGTGCAGGGGAGTTGGGGTTGGTGATGGAGTGAGCCACTGTTATCCTCCCTTCAGCGGCTTCAGGAAACTTCCTCTCAGCTCAGCACAAAGATGCTAGAGGAATTGTTCCTCAGAATACTTGACATTCCTGCCATGCTGGAGGAAAATGCGGTATAGACCTTGAGCTAGCCCTCCTTGAATCCATCCCTCCCGGTGCTGGGATTAAGGGTGTGTACTGTCACATCTGATTTTTATTGTTGTTTTTTCTTTTTTGAAAGTGGATCTCTCTACATAGCCCTGGCTGTTCTGACCATCACACCCGACTTTATGTGGTGTTGGGCATCGATCCCGGTGCCTCTTGAAAGTTAAAGTAAGCACTCTACCAACTGAGTTATGTTCCCAGCCCAAGATATGACATTCTAAGCTGCCATCAGTAAGTGGTCATCAACAGATAACTATCTAGTAAGATTGCTCTCAAACAATGGTACAGCATTGTCCCACTCTTAAGAGTTAATACAAATGGGCCTGTCAGTCACTTGAACAGGAAAATGCTTTTCAGGAAACGGTTCCAGAGACCTTTTAGAAAGTGCGAAGCCAGCCTAACCACGTAGGTCGTTACACTGGTCCCTTTAGCTACTGCTCACTATCATCTCTTGAACATGTATCTTAAGCTCTATAACGAACTCTATATATCTTCTTCACTGCCCCGTGAACCCTGCCTGTGTTCTTTTGATGGAGACCACTAGGACCAGAAAGCTGAGGAGAGTTCAGACTAAGAGCCCAGTGACAATATGCTGAAAAGATTCCAGGGACAATTGAATGGGGCTGAAGACAGGAGAGCCACTGCGGGACTCTGACTGGGTGTGTCACTTTTCTCTCTAGAGATTGTCGTCAATTATCTTCTGATTTCTGGTCCTTTTCTGGTGAAAACAGACTCCCCAGCATCCCTGGACATGGTTTGTTCTCCATCTCCATAGGGCAGATCAGCCTTACATAAAGATCTTGGTACCCAGAAAACCCCTAAGCCTTCTGCCCTGTGCCACAGGAAGCAGAGGGTTCTAGGGGAGGCACTTACACAGGCATACAGATGACCTGAAAGGGAAGACAGTCAGGAGAGGGACTCAGACAGAATGGGAGCCACGGAGACAGTTAGGTAGCAGTAGTGGCTGCGGTGGATGAGGAAGCCGTGTGAAGGAGGCAGATGGAGCAACGCCCAGAGGCAGACGGACAGTTGGTGAATGCACAGTGGGGCAGCTCCGGACAAGCACAGTCCACAGGGGCTCCTGGGAGCCCGGGCGGAGGAGAGACGGCCGGACAGCACAGATGGGTTCAACATCTGTCTGAGGACATAAACAAAGTGGAAATGGTCAAGGCGATGGCACACTGAGCTAGTGAAGGATGGACAAGAAGTAGGGCAGGAAGAAAACAAGAAGAGGAGGCAGGAGAGGCTGTCTGGGAAGACAAGTGAGCAGGGCATCCCAGCCAATGTCAAGGGCTGGAGGTGTTGACTGTCCCGTGACTGTGAGTGGTGACCTCCATTGTGGCTCTTATTGGCTGTGGTCAAGAGGTCCCTTATGGAAGGGAGGAGAGTATTCCTGGAAGCTACAGGGACCCAGCATCTCCAAAGTCCATTGAGAAGCCAGCCAGCAGAGAGACAGGGACAAATGGGGGTAGGGCCTAGTATGGAAGCCTGAAGAAAGCAATAAAAGCAGTTTTGTCTTTTCAGAGCCCATATCTCATGAATATACTGCCAAAGTGAGCTGAGTCATGGCTTTCTTGTCAGAGGTACCCGAACCTCATAAGACAGTGCCCAAGGCAGACAACAAAGTACTGGTCTTGGAAGGTAGCTCAGGCCAAATCCCAGGTTCTAATGCCATGGTCACATGACCTTGGCATAGCCCCTAGGTCTCCGTCCTTTGTCTAGGAAGACAGGATGGAAAGAGCTGCCTTCGAGATGTCATTAGCATCCCATGGATTGAGGCCAGGGTGTACCTAGAAATCCCACAGTGCATCGGCAATTGGGTTATCAACTGTCGGTAAAATGTATTTCTTTGATTCGAAGATGCAGCTGTTAATCACGCACACCCTCATTTTGATGACTATTTTTTCTCGTGAACAAGAAACACACCCACATTAAATAAACTGACTTGACATGTCAGTCATTGGGATCATTAAAATGGAAAATCATCTTTAAGAAATGAGAAATCTGGCGCCAACTCTAGTCAAGCACAGGTCAGTGCTTTGGCATTTCCCTCGTAAAGAATGGAGGGCAAGGCTGACCTGGTGCCGGGATCTGGCGAGTCTATGGGTCTCACGGGCAGGCAAAGGGGTAGGTAGACCTGCTCTGACTGGATGTGGAGAGAAGACGCCTTTGTAACACACTCTACAATTTTAAACACACAACGAAGAAGCACTTACTTTTTCAGGGCTTCTCTGAGGTTCTTAAATCTGCCCTCTGATGACACAAGCTTTTGGAGTTTGTCAATCAAAGCTTTCGTCTAGAAGGAACCAGAAGCATTTACTAACATTCAACACACATCCAGGCCCCAAGTCCCAGGCTCTGGCCCATGATCCAACATGCTGACCCGAGGGCTCCAGGCCACATTTGGATCTGGGGACTCTCTGTGCCTGGTAGTCTCACCGGTGATCTCCTTAGGACTCAGGTTTTACCCCTGTTCTCCTCTCTTCACACACATCTAGAGCCCCAGAGTGAGTAATGACCCTGGAGGCTGGTGCCACCCTGAGAATGATGGTTTAGGAGGACTTGGTGGATGCCTTGAGGGAGCCTGCACTTAGAGCAGGGAATATCTAAGTTAGAGTTTTTATATTCATGATTGCATTTCTCAGTCCTGGGAACTGAACCCGGGGATTCTGACATACGAAGCAAGTGCCCTCCACCAAGCTATATGTCAGCCTTTAGGATTTTCCCACGAGCTGGACCGAATGGATCTGATCACTTTTTTTCACACCTACACTTTGATGGACCGGCAGCACCATCAGTGGTCAAGAACTGAGGAAAGGGATAGCGGAGGAGCTGATCATCCAAGAAAGGCCTTCGTGGAAAGGATGAAACCCTTGGCCAAGGGTATGTGAAGTGATCAGCCAGACCTGGACTGCATGAAAACAGGGCAGAATACGGGCAGCTGGGTTTGTCTGGCAAGGACAGCTACATTCCCAGGGGAGTACACTGCCCTGGGTCTGTCTCTGGGCTCCTTTCCCTGTCTGGTCTATGGGATGCCTCTTTGAGGTCCTCAGTGTGCAGGTGAGAAACTGTGCTGAGGGCAGCCATGCATCACAAGACTGGGAGTGCTCAGCATCCCTAGAGGGACACAGTCACAGGCCACGGTCGTAGAAGATGCATGTGCAGTCGTAGAAGATGACAGTGTAAGCGTTCATGCTGATGGATGTTCCCTGTGTACCCTCCGAGGGGGAAGAGAGGACAGAGACAGAGCTATTAAGAGAGGGAACATTGGTGTTAAATTGACCCTGCTCAAAGCACAGATGCACTCTGACCTGATGTCAGAGCTGTGTGACAGCAGGACAGAATCCACACCGAGCTAAGGCATCTGACTCTAAGCTTCCTTAAGAACTGGCTTTCAGCACCCTGGCAAAGCCCACACTGCCAGGCCAATCTCTACCAGGATCTTGGTGACTACCTGCACCTGCCCTTCTGAGGATGACGATGGTACCCTCATCTGCAGAGGAGTGACCCAAGATGGATTAAGGTCAGATGTGGGGATTTAGTACCAGATCTGGGTCCTCCTCAGCCTCTGTCATCCATTCTCAGCATGCACAAGAGCAAAGGCCTGTTCCTCAGATATTCTCTAAGGGAAGCACTAGTTCAGATATGGTGGATTTTGGGAGAGAGAAGCTAGATCACAAGGTCTAGTCATAGAGTTCCGGCTTCAGAGATACCCATACATACTTTGAGGTCATGGACATGTACATAGATTGTGTGTGTGTGTGTGTGTGTGTGTGTGTGTGTGTGTGTGTGTGTGT